TCCACATAGTCTCTTATAGAAAGGTTCAGGTTCCAATCGGGTTCCTCATCTGGGAAGGTCTTCCTGGCCCATCTGTCTGTATCTAATATTCCTGCAAGGGCCTGGGTCTGGAGCCTCTTCCGAGCCTCTGTTACTACTCTCATGTGCTCCTCCATGTTAAAGAACCAGGAAAACTGCTTGCAATCCACCCAGGTGGGCTTCTGGGTCTGGAGGTTCGTTTCTAGGAGGTCTATCATGGCCTGAGGTTTTTCAGAATAAGCTGGGGTGTGATGTTTCCAATTCAAGATGTCACTGGTGGTAAAGGGCTGATAATAATAGACTGGCCCTCCTTCCTGCAAAGTCCCATCTTCGCCAACTACTTTGGCACCCTGAATCTCCCTTAGAGGCATCTGATGTGCTGGTTGTGGCCTGGGCCTTTGATCTGCTGAATGCAAGCACAGCTCAACTGCCTCAGGAGAGCCTGGTTGAGGAGAAACGGAAGGGGGCGGTGTTTCTGGACCTTTCAGACCAGCCGGAAAAGCACTTTGTGCTGCCTGTGGCACACATGGAGATGTTAAAACTAGCGGGAGTTCCTCAGGGGATCCTGGAAGAACAAGGGGTTGGGTTTCCTTCTGAGAAACCTATTTCTTTTCTCCTACTACCAAAACCTTACAGAACCGGACCCAAAGTGGCAAGGTTTGAGCAATTCCTAACCAGCTGTCTATGTAGGGGAACTGATCTGGATGTCCGGGGTTTGTTGTGGCTACATTCCAGACTACTCTTATAAGTCCTACATCTAAAGAGTCTACCAGGGGCTGTCTCCCTCAGGTAGGTTTGTGTCTGGGCTCACACTGACTTCCCCTCACTGTGTCTCTTGCACAGTAACATATGGCTGTGTTGTCCATGGTCACGGAGCTCAGCTACTGGGAGAACAGGTTCTTGGATGTGTTCATGGAAATGGAGGTTTGGCACTTGAGGGAGGGGCTGCAGGAAGTGTTTCCATCATCCACTCCAGCCACTTCCCTGGGGGCTGGTGGATCCAATTCGAGCAGGAACCACTGGTGATGGAGTGACCAGAGACATTGCAGGTGAGGGAGAGGGTCTGTGGGGCTTCACCAGTCCTGTGCCCAATTCCTGCAGCTGCACCTTGGACAGGACACCTGGGACAGAGAGTCCTGGGCTCAGAGGCAGGGTCCCCATCTCCTCACTTCTAAGCACTTTGCTCACTCACATCTGGGAGCAGGCAGCAGGAAGAGGAAGAGCCATGTGGGAGTCATGTTCTTGTAGGTGCTGTGCTCATCTACCAGAAAGTATTCTCCAGGGTAAGAAGGCCCTGAATTTAAGTGGACGCCCAGTGTGCGTGCTGTCTGGTGGCCATGTGGGCATTTAAATATGGGAGGTGTCAAGGGCAAGAGGTGAGGGGAGGACCCTGTCTCTGGGGCTTCTCCTGGAAGGAGATGCTGACTGTGCCCTCAGAGAACCAGGCTCTCCTTGGGGTCCTGGTCACCGAGCCCAGGGACCTCTTCTTCCACAGCAGGAGATGTGCTGCAGGAGGTGGTCAGGAAGTAGGATGTGGCAGCAATCAGTGAGTCCTTAGGGTAAAATCAATGTGCCTCTGCTCCCATGGCATACATAGATGACATAGATATAGATCTTCTTTTCATTATCCTCACCTGGGAATATGTTCATTAATTTTTAGAGGGAATTAGAGAGAGAGAGAGAGAGAGAGAGAGAGAGAGAGAGAGAAAGAGAGAGAGGTGAGAGAGAATTATTGATCAATTGTTAGGACTGGGAATCAAACTCACTAACTTTTATTTATTTAAATGTATTTTTTATTGATTTCAGACAGGAAAGGAGAGGGAGAGAGATGTAGAAACATAAATGTTGAGAGAGAAACATGGATCGGCTGCATCCTGCACTCCCCCTACTGGGGATTTAACCTGCATCCCAGGCATGTGCCCTGACTGGGAATGGCATCATAGGTTGATGCTCAACCACTGATCCACACCCTTCAGGCTTCATTCCATTTTGAAATACCCGTATTTTTCTGTGCATAAGATGCTATTTTTTTTAGACCTAAAATAAAAGGGCATCTTATTCACAGAAGCAAGCCGAGAAGCGAGCCACATGGGTTCCTAGCTGCCTATACCTTGTCAAACAGGCTTCCTCCAATCACAGCCTTATTGTTACTGACTTCAGCTGATGCCTGGAGCTGGAGGTGGAGACGCAGATGCAGCAGAGAGTGGAGCATTATGAACCCATAAAGATGTCAAAAAATAAAATGATAAATTCTGGTAAGCGATTGTCTTACTCTGCAAAATTCAAACTGAACGCAATCAGCTGTGCAAAAGAGCATGGAAATAGATCTGCAGAGAGACAATTTGGACCTCCTCCCACAGAGTGCATGATCAGATGAATGAGAAAACAGGAAGAACATCTCCTTAAGATGCCAAAAAAGAACAAGGTCTTCAAAGGAAAACCATCAGAAATTTTAAAATATTGACTTCTTAATTTTGGGTTGGAAAAGTGGGGTGTGTCTTATGCATGGGAGCATCTTATACATGGAAAAAATATGGCATATTTTGAGTTACTTTAAAATTCTATGCTGATGCCTTCTTAATGTTCCTTCAACTTTTACAGTCATCATTGCTTTGTCCTGTTTTTGGTAGTTTTTCATGTGACTTTTCATGTTTTTCATGTTTCATTCCTTGATTTCCTGTGTGTCATTTTCTTTTCTCCTCTTAGGAATTTTATCTTTTTCACTGGTTTTCAGGATTTTGATTTTAATGTGCCTTGATTTAATTTTGTTAATTTTCATTCTTCTTTCAGAATGTTGGTGCTTTTAGATCTGTTTATAGTTTACATCACATTCTATAAATATTTGCCATAATTTCTTTAAATATTTAATTTGGTGCCCCCCTCCTCCTCTCTCTGAGATTCCAACTACATGTATTTATGTTTGACTGCTTTTATTGTCTCCTACATTCCTGACACTTGGCTATTTTTTGGAAAATGATTCTGCATTCCATTCTGGAGAGTCCCTATTTTACTCCTTTAAGTTCACTTATGTTTAATCTGCATTGTTAGTCTTACTCCATGTATTTTTCATTTCACATGTTGTTACTTTCTTAGCCTCTAGAAATTCAAAACACAGACTAGTTCTACCAACTCCTTTCTGTGAGATTAAAGCCCTTGTGTGTGTCGTCTAACAGAAGCTATTGTCAGAAGACTGTCCCTCTGTTAGCACAGCCGAGGTTATTGGTTGCTGGGGCTGCAGTAACGTTTCTCTGGTCACTGCCCAACGATGTCCCAATGGTGTCATTAAAATTACAAAGTCTCCTGATGGAGAGACCAAAGGGAATATTAAGGACTCCTTCTGACTGATCAATGGGGCAGAGGAAGTAAATGCCTTCCTCTAAGGCAGTGATGGCGAACCTATGACATGCATGTCAGAGGTGACACACAAATTCATTTTTTTGGTTGATTTTTCTTAGTTAAATGGCATTTCAATATATAAAATAAATATCAAAATATAAGTCTTGCTGAACCCGGTTTGGCTCAGTGGATAGAGCGTTGGCCTGCGGACTGATAGGTCCCAGGTTCGATTCCAGTCAAGGGCATGTACCTTGGCTCCGGGCACATGCCCAGTGGGAGGTGTGAAGGAGGCAGCTGATTGATGTTTCTCTCTCATCAATGTTTCTAACTATCTCTCTCCATTCCACTCTGTGAAAAATTAATAAAATATATTTAAA